GTGCTGCATCAGATGACCTGGCCTCCACAATCACCCGACCTCAACCCAATTGAGATGGTTTGGGATGAGTTGGACTGCAGAGTGAAGGAAAAGCAGAAAAGTGCTCAGCAAATGTGGGAACTCCTTCAAGACTGTTGGAAAAGCATTCCAGGTGAAGCTGGTTGACAGAATGCCAAGAGTGTGCAAAGCTGTCATCAAGGCAAAGGGTGGCTACTTTGAAGAATCTCAAATATAACATCTAGTCTTCAATATTATTCTACAATGTAGAAAATAGTAAAAATTAAGAAAAACCCTTGAATGAGTAGGTGTGTCCAAACTTTTGACTGGTTATGTATGTATGTATATTATTTTACTGCTCTAAGGATATAATTATTGTTTGGATAACCTGGGTTGCAAAATTGGCGAATTGACACAAAAATAAAAATGCATTAATTAATTACACTATCAACTACAACTATTTTAATATGCAACCACTTGCTAGGGGTTAGGTTTAGAGTAAGGGTTAAGATAGGGTTAAAGTTAGGCATAGGGCAAGGGTTAAGGTTAGTGGATAGTTAGTTGAAATGTAGACAGGTAGTTGAACATCTCCAAACCATCTATGTGGGACTATCCATACAAAGTGAGAGGGATTTAGCAACCCTACGCCCTCTCAAATAAGACAAGTGATGTGCATGACGGGGAAATTGGTTTTAAAGCACGTTTTACTGGAAATCATAATGACCAAACTGATTGGAGATCAGATGTAACTGCATTCCCCATGTCACTGATGGAATAGGGAGCAGTGAGCCCTCACTGAACTGAGCCTTACTCAACATAGTCAACCCATATAGAGAACTATAAAACCATCATCCTGTATGACAGATCCACAGCATCAACACTGATTGAAACTTGAGATGTCTTAAAGGTAGACTCAGCGAGGCACAAAGTAAACAGCAATATCGGGCCGACTTCCGCAACAACTAAGCGCTCAATTCAATCTGTAGCGCTGAAGATCCGCGTTGTAGCGTGACTGACATTTAAAGGCAATGTTCCTGCGGAGACTGCATTCACGGTAAATGCTGTATATGTCGGCTCAGTCGGAAATTACCTTTACATTTCAATTGTGCAATAACGCTGAACTTCCACAATTCGGATTGAATCTAGCCCTAAGAACGTTGAAGCGAGGCTAAACTTCTCTGCTGTTTTGGTCCTGTAGCTAGTGTACGAAGTTGTAGGAGCATGAAGCGCACCTGCACAGAGAACAGTCTTGCGTTGCACTCATCTCGATGGCCATGTTTGAGAGCATAAAAACCATGATGTCTCATGGGTAAATTGTGACTGAGTGACTAATCTAGTTATTTATGATACAAGGTGATTTGTAGATCAGTCAGTCTCGACTCACCTTTAAAGTTGTCTGCAATGTCGAACGTGCCCTCTATCAGTGGTGCTGCTTGTGGCATCGTCATAACTCTGAGTCTACCTTTAATGGCAATATAGCCCTTACGCCTGTGGGTAACAATTCTATTGCACATCCTTATCCCTTATGGTTATGATCATAACCGTCGTCCTTCATTTTACAATTGTTCATCCTTACCACCTTCACACCACTTTCTTCATTAATCCCATTATCATCACCATCGTTATAACCCCACATCCATCATCTTTTTACCACCATCATCACACTCACCCCTCATCTATCGTTCAAGAACCCAATCATCATCATCAATCAATTCTATTTTAACTACCTTCATCATCACCATTACCAGTAGTACTCATTCATTATTTTTTTTAACGTTGGCCCTTCTCCATCCTTCATCTGTTGCTGTCCGGAAAAGCCTCCTGCGGCTGGGGCTCGGGCACTTCCTTCCTGGGGTGTAAGCCGATCCAGACTTCCATCCACTAGATCGAGGGATGGTCCCATTAGCCTCGGGCAGGCAGAGCACCCACGGGAGATGGGAATAGCACCCCCCCCCCCCCCCCCATATAAACGCTGGGATGAAAACGCCAGCCTCCTATTGGTGGAGCCCCGATCGGCTGAGAACTGGAGACCATGCGCCATTGGTGGGTCGGAGCCAGGGTGGAGTGATCGAGTGGGGCAGTATTGTATTGATCTCGACTCATCCTCAGCCCTTGGCTGAAGCAAGGGCAAACATTGCTCTGTTTCTTACCTTTGTCATTGACATATTTGGCAAGTTAGGCCCCCAAATGAGGCGGTTTAATTTATGTAGGTATTGGAATGGTATAGAGCTAGTGAATTCCAGTTGTCCAGTTATGGTGCTAATGGGGAACTGAAATCACTTAATTTTGATACTCATTTATTAACAAGAGAGAATTTGATTTAACATTCAGCTGTGGAAGACGTACTTGGGCGAATGCCAGCTCTGCGCTGGTTACAAAAACTTTTCTTTGATCTCTTCTTCCTCCTCCCCTCCCTCCATTCCAGTTCAGTGTATAAAATGCTTTAACCCAATGAGTCCCACCACAACACTGGCGCAATTTGGACTTTAATCCCTTTTAAACATTGTGTGTTTGACCTACAGATTTCTGGGTAAAACACTTCATTCGGAGGCTAAATATAAGGGCTGGACATGCAGATAAATGAAATTCAGATACATTAAATGTAGATTTTTGCTGGGGTCTCGGGACAGACAATAAATCCAAATTATTTATTAACCAATAACAAATTTAAAAAATGACACTAAATTATCCAAATAACTTTTGCAACAGCAACACTTTTCTTTTGTACAAAACAAATGACAGTCACAGAAACCTTCCCTCCCCCCTCCATTTGCCATCATCCTCTCCAATATTAAGCATACCCGACATTTACTTTACCAGCTATTACGAGTTTTAAATTCTTTATTTTGCTGCGTGCCATAGAGGAAACATGATGGCTGTTCGAGATGTTAACATGAATATGAACGGCAAAAGAGAACAGAAAAACAAATCTGTAATTCGCCAATTTCTGAGGTAAATCTTTTTGGATTGAGTTGGTACCTCAAAACACAACTGCATTATAACAAAATATGTTCCCTTCATTAAAGCCTTGAACCAGAGCAGGCTAAAAGCAGATGCGAACAATACAGTATATTTGACAAACTAACCTCCAGATAAAATGTTACAAGTCTTCCACAGGTTAGGAACGTCCATCACTATTTTTCCAGAAAACTCCATTGACAGCAGAGTGAAACAGGGGAGAGAGCTTTACTGAGGCGAACAAAACACGCCACAATACACCACGCGATTTTTAAGAGATACTTTCCTTAATAGACAACAAACCAACAACAAAAAGATGACCGTTGATTAGATAAATATAACTTTACATTAAGGAACCCTCTATAAAGGCTTTACAATTTTGGGAGTTTTTACACTAGTTTACAAACTGTCAGTATTGAATAGATACCTAAATAACGTTCATAAATCATTGTGGTAGTGCTCGCCAAATAGAGGGCTATTATCAATCCTTCACACAGACCCTGGTTCCACATCAGACATTATTTAGGACCCTGGTCATTACAGTTACATTTCCCAGGATGATTTGGTGGCACCCGTAATAATCAGGAGCAGAGCTGGGAATATTATGATTTCACCCATTTTTGTTACCAAATTCAGTAAACATCATCGCAGTGCATTAACTTTGGTTTCCAGACAGTGTTTCTGCTCCCACCAGGCAAAACATGCTCAGAAAGGGAACTGCATGAGGGTTTGACACCAAAAATGCAAATATCTGTTCGTAAAGCATGTAGTCATTCAGAAGACATCAAGCCAATTTATAAAGAACAGTGATAATAGCCGTATGTCTATAGGCTCACTATCTGGCAAGCACTAAAACAACAGTCACCTATCAATACATTATAACCGTTACTCTGTAAATGTGGATCGAGGATCAATAACATATATTTAACAGAAATATCAAGAGTTTATGAACTACTTGCAACCCTTCATAAGTCCTTTATAAGGGGCACCTTAATGCAAATGCTCTTGACTGTGGGACGCTGTATATTCTCCTTTGAACCGTTATAAAACCTGCCTATTTCAACTGGCATAAATAAAAGGAATGGCATTGTAAAAAATAATAAAAATAATAATAATAATAACAATAAAAAAAAGTGTGACGTCGTCTTTAAGTTACTAACTTCAAATATACACAGCGACTCTTTTTATATACACCTATGTACAGATGTTATTTTTTATTTATTTTTTGAATACCTTTGAAATGGTGTTGCTATGAGGGCGGACTCTCCGGATACACACCTATCCCTTTGAGTGGTAATCACAGGGGTCAAACTGGGCAGCGAGACTCAGGAACCTCGGGTGTAGCATGGTTTACTACAGGGCTCATAGAAAGGCACTTGCTACCAACTCAAATACTGCAATCCTTTAAACAGAGCTTTCAGCCTAGAAAACCGAGAGAAAAAATAATTGAAGGCCACATAGTAGGCACTGGGGTTTCTTTCCCCCTCGAGGCTGTGCTCTTGGTAAGGCTGGCACGGGACGGCTGCAGACTGGCAAGGCGGGCGTGCCGGGCTGAGAAAGAGAGATGGGTGGGTTGCTGCAGTAACCTCTGTTGCAGCGGTCAACAGAGTCCCCCGAAAAGCCCCCCCCCCTCCCCCACGTGTCTGTCGCAACCAAAAGGGCCCACTCACAATTAAACAAAATCACAATCTATCAACAAAAAAACGTCTTTATACAGGTTATTTTACCCCCTCCATTTGGACTTTATCTTCGCTAATTTTAACAGTACAATTCAAACAAAGGCGAGGCCTCACTTTTCCTCTTTTGAAAGTAATACAATTATGCTTCATCTGTACATAAAAAAGAAACGCCCTCTTTGCGTTAGCATTCGGCCCCCCCAAAACAAATCTTACAGATGACAGCAAAATAAAAAAAAATAAAACAAGAATGGTTCTTTGAACTCAAAAGCCTCTTTTTCTCTTTTAATAGTACAATATATAGGATCCTCCCCCTCTTTCCTCGGTCGGTGCTGTGGCGTGAGTCCGTTTCAGAGTCCCGTTCGTTCATACAAAATGGTCTTTGACGTCTTGGCCAGCCAGGGTGGCGTTGACATTTTTCCAGCGGTTGTCTTTGGTGGTGGTCCGGTTGGGTGCTTTTAAGGGCAAACTCCGTGAAGTGCAGATCACGTCCCCTTTGGACTGCACCCCGGTTTTAGAGTACTTACAGATGGGCCCCTTGCCCGCTTCCACTTCTACATCTTCCTCCTCGAACTCCATCTCTCCCTCCGTCTCCTCCTCGTCCTCCCCTCCATCATGCATCCTGTAGGGGGAGCCCATGAGCTTCTTGCGCTCCTGCTGGGCCTCCTTGTTGTTGTCTTTGAGCTGCTGCTGTTGTTGTTGTTGACGTCCTCCAACAGGCCGCAGGGGCTCCCACTGGTTGTTGACGCTCTCTTCGACGGGGCCGCATGCCCTCCTCTCACGCTCTTTTCTCCGCTTGCGCGTCCACCACACGCACACAATGATGCAGAACAGCCAGAGCACGCAGAAGACCACGCACAGAATGGGCACAAGGTAGTCTATGCCACGACACCGAGAGAAAGAGGGAAATACAGAAAGAGAGAGAAGAAACTGGGTTCAAATGGATTGCTCAATAACATAAAACACAGCAAAATGTTTAAAGCAATAATATGTAACTTTTTGGGCGACCTGACCAAATTCACATAGAAATGTGAGTTATAGATCTGTCACTCATTAAAGGAAGTCTAAGAAGTGGTAGATCTGTTCCATTTCTATGCTTCCCGTGCTCAAGTCTTGTTTTTGAGTCTTTCGCTTTCGGTTCAAACATCTGCAAACACAATATTTTTGATGGTACAATGATGCTCCACCCTATACTTGCTTGTTCTGTCACGTAAACTGAAATTAAGCAAATTACTCACATTTTTGCAATCAGGAAATGGTGGAGCAATTTCTGCATAGTGCATATTTAAGTAGAGGAGCTGAGGCAGCCAAGTTAGAATGCAAGGATGAAAGACCATTCTCCCTATGTGCCATTGGTCATCTTAAGGTCTCATGACATTTAATATTGTACATGGATGCACTGCACGTCGCCAAGTGCGCAGACAGTGAGGTTGTTAGTGAGTCACCCCATTAAGGTAACACGCAGGGGTTTTTAAGTCCTGTTTCAGAGATGTACGCCACGTCAAATCACTAGACCGGGCTGACGGCCGCTGTCACAGTGTTTTATGACCCGCGGCTATAAAATCAATTCGCTTCAGGTCCACTTAGTGCCTTTAGGAAGGCAGAGCCTAAATGAGGAAGTAAACGTTCTGCAACAACACAGCCCTGGGGGTCAACCTTGGGCATTTTACTTACCCACTGTGGGGGGCATGACCTGCGTTTCCACTTTGACCTCAATGACTGCCAGCATGACTGTGCTGTTGTGACGCTTAGACAGTGTGCCCACGATGGTGCTGGCTACCTCTTGGATCAGACTGTGGTCCAGCTGTTCATCCGGCTGGAACGACTGGAAAACAGTAAAGAAAGGGGGAAAGGGGTGAGTGCGGGAGAAAAGGAAAGAGAGGAAGTGTGTGTCGTATTTTATTTACAGGATTAAACTCCTCAAGAGGCATCATCCTGTGTGTGCGCGTGTGTCGTTAAGTCTATGTAGCTGTGTGTGTGTCTTAGCTTGTGTGGGCACACGTAATGGGTAATGAAACCAATAATTTAACGAAAGGCACATTAAATCACCCCAAAACGGCAATGTGGTTAATGATCATAAGAACCTCTTACACAAACCCCCAAAACACATGCCCCCATTTTCATTAATAATAAACCCCTCACCTTAACAGTAACCCCACCAATACACATTTCCATGCATACAGCTCCAGGCAGCACAGTTGTTACCAGACAATGCCCACTCTTTATACCAATACAATCAGAGAATTGTTCCATGCCCTTTTAAGCTCAAATTAAATACAATAGACAACCATCAGATTCTGTTCCACAGAACGAACCAATTGGAATGCCCCCAACGCATCACCCAACTAGCAATTCAGACCAGTTCGAATGGTGGTCCCGACGGTGAGGGAAAAAAAGGGGCAGGGCTGGGGGTGTGGGAGGACTCTTAATATTAGGATGGTATTTTTTTATGTGCTCATCTCTCTCTGCCTGTCCTGTTCGTTCGCAATACATCAGTGCAACAATGTATTGATTGATTCATCACCAGCCTCTGTGATCACACCATCGCACTGGGCCGATGTGGGTGGGAGTCTATTTTAATAAATCCACTGAATATACAGCATCACAAAGAACTCATTTTTTACTTCATATAGTTTAGTCCTAAGAAACTTTATAAAGAATAGAATATCATATTGAGTTTAGTTATGTTACTGGTCTGTGCCTATAAGCTACATGGCTGCGCCATGCAAATGAAATCAGTAGTTCATCAAGTTATCTATCTAAACAGAGCACATGCAACAAAAAAGTGATATTTTCAAACAGAGCCCAAGCCCTGTCCTTTTTGAGAGCTTGGCCTGTATGTGCTTTAGAAACCTGTGTCATGCAATAAAATGCAAATTAATTACTTTAAAATCATACAATGTGATTTTCTGGATTTTTGTTTTAGATTCCGTCTCTCACAGTTGAAGTGTACCTATGATAAAAATTACAGACCTCTACATGCTTTGTAAGTAGGAAAACCTGCAAAATCAGCAGTGTATCAAAAACTTGTTCTCCCCACTGTAAGTACAGGCTTTGTTACTGGCAACACCTTTCAGATATGAAGAAAAGGTTGCAAAAAGTTAACGGCATGGTAAAGTTAGCGGCTTCATCTTGGTTTGAAAGGGATAATACAGTGCATTCGGAAAGTTCAGACCCCTTTACTTTTTCCACATTTTGTTACGTTACAGTTTTATTCAAAAATTGAATAAATTGTTGTTTTCCCCCTCAATCTACACATAATACCCCATAATGACAAAGCAAAAAACGGTTTTTTAGAAATGTTAGCAAATGCATAACAAATAAAAAACTGAAATATTACATAAGTATTCAGAGCCTTTACTCAGTACTTTGTTGAAGAACCTTTGGCAGCGAATACAGCCTTGAGTCTTCTTGGGTATGAATACTTGGCACACCTGTATTTGGGGAGTTTCTCCCATTCTTCTCTGCAGATCCTCTCAAGCTCTGTCAGGTTGGATGGGGAGCGTTGCTGCACAGCTATTTTCAGGTCTCTTCAGCGATGTTCGATCGGGTTCAAGTCGGGCTCTGGCTGGGCCACTCAAGGACATTCAGAGATTTATCCCCGAAGCAACTCCTGCGTTGTCTTGGCTGTGTGCTTAGGGTCGTTGTCCTGTTGGAAGGTGAACCTTCGACCCAGTCTCAGGTGCTGAGCGCTCTGGAGCAGGTTTTCATCAAGGATCTCTGTACTTTGCTCCATTCATCTTTGCCTTGATCCTGCCTAGTCTCCCAGTCCCTGCAGCTGAAAAACATCCCCACAGCATGATGCTGCCATCACCATGCTTCACCGTAGGGATGGTGCCAGGTCTCCTCCAGACATGACGCTTGGCATTCAAGCCAAAGTGCTCAATCTTGGTTTCATCAGACCAGAGAATCTTGTTTCTCATGGTCTGAGAGTCTTTAGGTGCCTTTTGGCAAACTCCAAGCGGCTGTCATGTGTCTTTTACTAAGGAGTGGCTTCCGTCTGGCCACTCTACCATAAAGGCCTGATTGGTGGAGTGCTACAGAGATGGTTGTCCTTCTGGAAGGTTCTCCAATCTTCACAGAGGAACTCTAGAACTATGTCAGAGTGACCATTGGGTTCTTGGTCACCTCCCTGACCAAGGCCCTTCTCCCCCGATTGCTCAGTTTGGCCGGGCGGCTTGGTGGTTCCAAACTTCTTCCATTTAAGAATGATGGAGGCCACTGTGTTCTTGGGGACCTTCAATGCTGCAGAGATTTTTTGGTACACTTCCCCAAATCTGTGCCTCGACACAATCCTGTCTCGGAGCGCTATGGACAATTCCTTCGACCTCATGGCTTGGTTTTTGCTCTGACATGCACTGTCAACTGTGGAGCCTTATATAGACAGGTGTATGCCTTTCCAAATCATGTCCAATCAATTGAATTTACCACAGGTGGACTCCAATCAAGTTGTAGAAACATCAAGGATGATCAATGGAAACAGGATGCACCAGAGCTCAATTTCGATTCTCATAGCAAAGGGTTTGAATACTTATGTAAATAAGGTATCTTTTTCTATTTTTAATACATTTGCAAAAATTTCTAAAAACCTGTTTTCGCTTTGTCATTATGGAGTATTGTGTGTAGATTGCTGAGGAACATGTTTTATTTAATCTATTTTAGAATAAGGCTGTAACATAACAAAATGTGTAAAAAGTAAAGGGGTCTGAATACTTTGAAGGCACTGTAGGTTGTTTTTCACAGTATAGTTTAGTCTGTTACTCCCAATCTAGAGGGTGCTATGTAGCCTAATAAGATTAAAATGTGTGACTACTTTGCAAGAGGTCATCCACTTGTTAATTCATATCAGCATCTCAAAATACTGAGGTGAGGGGAATTTGTGTGTCTTTATGAGAGGTGAAAGTGAAAATTTGTCATTTTATTGTTTGAATTATGGGAGTAGGATATTCATGAACAACTGTTGAAATGAGGAACGGAAGAGCTATATTTCAAACTTATTTCAGAGTTGCTAGGTAAAGCCATGTGGAAATTAGAATCATAGCCTTTATGCTCAGTTGATCGTTATATAAAAAGTTATACTTACAAAGTATAAATTTGAATTTTGTAAAGAATATTGTTAAATCAAAATCACAATAGCCTGGCTATTTCTAAGACTGTAGGCAACATCGATGTATTCATTTCAAGTGGACAGTGTGTTTGATAGGTAATAACTCCCATTTTGGAATAAGTTATAACGATAAAAAAAAGAACTGACAGTCTGTAATACCAACATGTTTCAAGCAGACCACCATAGTCCCTGTGCCCAAGAACACTAAGATAACCTGCCTAAATGACTAACGACCCATAGCACTCACGTCTGTAGCCATGAAGTGCTTTGAAAGGCTGGTGCATGGCTCACAACACCATTATTCCAGAAACCCTAGACCCACTCTAATTTGCATACCGCCCCAACAGATCCACAGATGATGCAATCTCTATTGCACTCCACACTGCCCTTTCCCACCTGGACAAGAGGAACACCTACATGAGAATGCTATTCATTGACTACAACTCAGTGTTCAACACCATAGTGCCCTCAAAGCTCATCACTAAGCTAAGGACCCTGGGATGAAACACCTCCCTCTACAACTGGATCCTGGACTTCCTGACGGGCCGCCCCCAGGTGGTAAGGGTAGGTAATCTGCCATGCTGATCCTCAACACAGTCCCCTCCTGTACTCCCTGTTCACCCATGACTGCATGGCCAGGCACGACTCCAACATCATCATTAAGTTTGCCGACAACACAACAGTGGTAGGCCTGATCACCGACAACGATTAGACAGCGTATACCGAGGTCAGAGACCTGGCCGGGTGGTGCCAGGATAACAACCTCTCCCTCAACGTGATCAAGACAAAGGAGATGATTGTGGACTACAGGGGGGAAAAAAGAGGACTTAGCACGCCCCCATTCTCATCGACGGGGCTGTAGTGGAACAGGTTGAGAGCTTCAAGTTCCTTGGTGTCCACATCACCAAACTATCATGGTCCAAACACACCAAGACAGTCATGAAGAGGACAGACAAAGCCTATTCCCCCTCAGGAAACTGAAAAGATTTGGCATGGCTCCTCAGATCCTCAAAAAGTTATACAGCTGCACCATCGAGAGCATCCTGACTGGTTGCATCACCGCCTGGTATGGCAACTGCTCGGCCTCTGACCGCAAGGCACTACAAAGGGTAATGCGTACGGCCCAGTGCATCACTGGGGCCAAGCTTCCTGCCATCCAGGACCTCTATACCAGGCGGTGTCAGAGGAAGGCCCTACAAATTGTCAAAGACTCCAGCCACCCTAGTCATAGACTGTTCTCTCTGCTATCACACAGCACCGGAGCACCAAGTCTAGGTCCAAAAGGCTTCTTGACAGCTTCTACCCCCAAGCCATAAGACTCCTGAACAGCTGATCATGTCTACCGGGACTATTTGCATTGCCCCCCCCCCCACCCAAACCCAACCCCCTCTTTTACGCTGCTGCTACTCTGTTTGTTATTTATGCATAGTCACTTTAACTCTACCCACATGTACATATTACCTCGACTAACCGGTGCCCTCGCACATTGACTCTGTACCGGTACCCCCTGTATATAGCCTCCCTACTGTTATTTTATTTTACTGCTGCTCTTTAATTATTAGCCTTTTTATTTTATTTTTATATATATATTTTTACTTAACTTTCTTTTTATTTTCTTAAAAACTGCATTGTTGGTTAAGGGCTTGCATGTGGCAAATACAATTTTATTTTATTTGAAAAGGGAACCAATTTCAACCCAAGACCTTGGTCTTTCTAATAATGTTGAAAAGAGTCTAATAAAATTGCCTATAGGCCCCCGGTCTCCCCTAACCTGAGCGAGTAAAAAGTGACACAGCCCCGGTCGCCACCAAATCAGATGCGTTGCACAGTCAACCACAACATTTTACGTAGAGGAGAGATCAAATGATTATATTGCCTGCATTTAATCAAATTCAACACCGCAAGAGCTTTCTTTCCACGTGGGCACCAGAAAGTATGCTTTGGAAAGGCCCCGCGTTCTGTGGTAATTGGCTTGTTATTTGAGACCATCAGATTCTCTGGGAGAATTTCAACCAACAGCCTCCAACACACATGCTACGAATTTCTATTCACATACAAGCGATGGCACTTAATGGTACTTAGCTCTTCCGAGTTGGCTCTTCAGAGTTGGCTAGACCTAAATTCACCTTTAGTTGTGTGGTATCACTCCAAAGACTCAATTTACAACTGTCGCCCCATTTTCTGCGCCCCTGTCACAATACACATTTGCTTTTAGGTTGGTTGGTCTGAGTTTTGTGAAGCGTTCTGTGGCACATGCCCTCCTAAAAAAAATTGGAATTCATTGATCAATTCAAATCCTTACCCTGTATCCCCAACAGCGTGGGAAAAATATTCTGCCCCACCTGGTATTCCTGACTTTATTCAAGTGAATCCAATTAGAGACCAGGCAGTTATCTTTAATGACGTGGTGCTCCGTTAGGGAATATCAAGGAGATCTCACGGAAGGAAATCTGATTTCCATTTGATAATTTATGGCCAACCATAAAACAGAAAAGATTGGGAAGATATGTATCAAAGGGTTGAGGCTCCACCTTTACATGTTGGCAATGCTTTGCTTTTCCTGTACCCACTGTCATACATAGCCTGCCTGCATAGCACAGTGCCAATGACATAACGGATGTCATGAACAGTTGTAATTAGCTAGTTCCAAACCAGGGAAGCCCTTAATAAGCCATCTCAGTGTTTTGGATGGTGTCAATGAGTATCAAATCTATTCCATTGAATGTAGGCAACTTTTTGTTTCCTCAACAGGTGGGCACTTTACGCAGATTATTGAATATGCCTAAGTAACTCCGCTTCTCGCATTAATTCAGGGGCGCAACTTTCACTGGGGACGGACATGACCCCCCCCACATTCTGAAATTGCATTTTTGTCCCTGCCAGTTTTATAATTGCACTGTGATACAAAAAGCGGCACCGGTGTGCTTTAGTACCATGTGGCAGCCTCAGAGCGGTCAGGTAGGCTGTTTTACGGTTTCAGCCGGCTGGATTTAGGTTCACACGGATACCACAGTGTGCGCGGATAGGCTGTGTGAATGCAAAGCATCTGAAAGGCTGGTGTATAGGACTAGCACTGGAAAGATGATCAGAGGCAGCTGCTGTCTGTGTTGCGCTTTTTCTCCGAGTTGTAAAAGCAAGCAGAGCAGAAACTGGCTACTCTTTAGTTGACTGATCTAGCTGGCAAGGTAACTGTTGTTTGAGAGAAAAATTATTATGTATTCCCCAGTGCTGAGCTAGTATTGTAACTGACATGTTACGTTAGCTCTTGACTGAAGTAAATGAACTACTAGCAGCTAGCTAGTAGCTACCACAGCCAATTCAGCTCTAGCTAACCTCTAGCTATCTGTCAGGTAGCAGTATCTAACAGCTGTTGTGTGTATTGAAATGTTTTGTAGCCTTTTGTTTTGTCCCGTTTCAACTTAAGTAAATTTGATGTACCATTAGCTAGAACTGGCCAAAAGTTGACTAACGTTAGCTAGCTCACTAACTTTTGCTTTTATTTTTGCCTCAATCACACTAGACCTGAATTAAATGATGAAACAAGTGGCCAAACGATTGAAGACCGATATATTCTGACGTTTCTTCAGCGTAATGTGAGTTTTTATTAGTCAGTATAGCAATGTAACGTTATTGATCTGTCAAGTTTCCCTAGCTAATTCCCAGCTTTTCACACTGACACGGTATAAACAGCTCTACAGGCTTCACTGTCATGGTGCACAGTCAGTACACAACACTATGCTCATCTCAGTGCAGCAAACACTGGACAAGCAAGAAGCTTTAAAGATTGAAACTATTTTAAGGCAGTCTGACAAACCTCTAAGTTGATTTCCAAACTGTATCAAGGGTTGATAGCGGCTTTTCCCGATGACACAAAATATGTAAAACAAAAAGGAAGACCTGGGAGACGCTATTGATGATGAATGGATACAAATACTTTAGAATGCCCAGTCATGTTCATATAATCTGACAAATTACTGCAGTTTAAGACCTTCCATAGAAGGCACTATATGCCAGTTAAACTGAATATCATGCACTCAGAAATGTAATTCTTCTGCTGGAGGTGTAAAACAAAAGGGGACATATTTGCATATATTATGGTCTTGTGAAGGCTGGCTGAATTCTGGCAAAGACTATGTTCTTTTATCTCAGCATGTCTACAGATTCTCCCTGTTTTTGTTTCCTTGGAAATGTTGATACTGGAGACTTATCAGAGGAAACTGTGTAACCTAGCATTTATAGCGGCTAAGAAATGCATTGCCATTAATTGTAAGATTGGTTATCCTCCCACAATGTCACAATGGGATGGCAAAAATGTCAAGTTATGCATCACTTGATTTGATTTATTACAAGATTAAGGGTATACTGGATGCGTTATATGGAATACTGTACGACAAAAGGAGTCTGTATTGAAAACATTTCAGGGAAGATATCTATTTAGGCAATCCCTAGCTGCTGGGCTGCTCAGTCCTGGCCCTGGGGGTCTGCCGTACTGTTGGTTGTCACTCTGGCCTTGGCCTATCATACCTGAAACCAATAATTAATGTTTCACTAAGATCCTAAAGCTGAGTGGGGTGGGGCGCTGCAGGGCCATGGTCCCCTAGGGGCAGGACGGGGTGACCCAGCTAAAAAGAGATCTACAGTATTATTAGGCCTATGATATTAATTATATGGATGATGTACTGTTTCTGTGTGTTAATGTGTAGGTGAATGTGTGTTTTTATTAAACGTTTGATTTCCAAACCTTTCCCTTGATACATAAAAAAAAAATGGGAAGGAAGTTGTGTTGGGGAGAGAGTTGAGTTATTGACTAGACTGGTGGGGGTCGGGCTTGCAGGCGGCTCGGGTTGGCTGGGCGGTCTGGCTGAAATTTGATAGAGGATGTCGTAAAGAAACAAGTTAGGTGTTTGTACTTTATTTGTAAGAGTTGTTCACTTGTGAGGCTATTGGTTAAAGGTGAAACACAATATTGACTATTGAATTATCATTGATCTAGTTCAGTCTTATCAATCACTTAAACATATTTAATAATGGTCTCACCTTGCTTGATGACTGTGGGTATTTTTGCTTACTTTTTGTTGTTCTAAATAGAGACGGCTAGAACGACCATGCATCATATTAGATTGCGTAGAAATTCAGGAAATGAGCTTTAGATGCCCCAAAAATTGGGAGGACCCTCAGACCCCCCAGCCAAGTTGTCTCCCTCACTTCTAAAACCAAAGTAGCGCCCCTGCATGAATCTCCCATTGACATCAATGCATGATTTACCAGAATGTCGGAAAAGCACAACAACCTGCAGTTAACATTCGTCCCTAATGACGGAAGTCCCAGAGGTGAGGAATTGATTTCGATTGGCTAGCCAGGGGAGCGGACTTACTATGGCCACTTCCACTGCATCCTGATTGGTGTAGGAGAGGTCACACAGCACAAGGAGGGCGTGGTCTTTGGCCAGGGATCGGGTGGCAGGCAGGTACCTCAGCTCTGAACAGATGTTCTCCACCGTCGTGCCCTGGAGATTACACACAATAAGTGAACGTAGGAGGAGAGCAACTTGCACCACAGGGCTTACTATAAAGGTATGGAGAGATCACCAAAAGCTGGTACTTCCATTCTATGCTGATAATATCAACCATTGGTGTGTACAAAGACACTCACCACTGGCACTTTGGCTCGGTTGAAGATGAGCGTGATGCGGGCACAGCTGTTGTCCAGGTGCCCACTGTTGGGCTGACACTCTGTGTGGTCGTGGGGCGCGGGCTCACCACCACCCGAGGAGGAGGACGAGCACACCCCCCACCGGTGGCAGGGCGGCGAGAAGCAGGCGAGGTAGCTGTGCTCCTGGCACTCTCGTCCGCCTGGGCACGCCTGGGCACATTCCTCGCCCGTCGACTTCGCCGACCCTGGGAGAAGGCACGTCCTCCGCCCGCAAAGCACCTGTTGGGGTCAAAGGTCAGAGGGTCAGAGGGAGGGGTCACCCATAAGCCTGTGGACCAATAACAGGCCCCATTTCAGTGTTGTATGCTCCAGGTATTGAAGTCCCAAATCGTTAAATTTATTAGGAATGAGTGTGTGGTGTGTGCGCGCATGATGTGTGTGTACAGTGTGTGTTTGTGTATGTGTGAATTAGGTGCGAGTGTGTACACTCACCTTGGTACACTCCACTTTGCCATCGACACATTGGCAGTTGTTGCACTCCTCTTCCCAGCGACTGCCATGAGGGAACTGCAGGCCGGCATAGTGGCAGGTCTTCCTGATACCTATAACTACAAACACACACACAGAAACACACTGCTGTCAATCAACTGACGTAAACTCAGAGGCTAAGGTCAATCGTGTCTAGGCAGACAGTAAGATCATGTTGCCCTAACAAGACATGAAGGCCTTTATTCTCTAATGAAGTGACACTCCTCCTCATGTGTGTTTGTGTGTGTGCCACGAGGGAGGAGTGAGACTCACACTCTTGGCATTGTGGGCCCGTTCGTCCGAGCGGGCAGACGCAACGGAAGCCGTTGATCTCATCCACACAGGTGGCGCCGTACGCGCAGGGAGCCGACTGGCACTCATCTATATCTGAATGAGAGAGGAGGAGAAGATGAGTGGAAGTGAGATAATTATTACAGAAGTGGGTGGTTTTTTACCCCCTTTTTCTCCCCAATTGTGATACAATTACAATCTTGTCTCGTCACTGCAACTCCCCAACGGGCTCGGGAGAGGCGAAGGTCGAGTCATGAGTCCGCACGCTTAACACCCGCCCGCCACAAGGAGTCGCTAGAGAGCGATGAGCCAAGTAAAGCCCCCTCAGCCAAACCCTCCCCTAACCAGGACAACGCTGGGCCAATTGTGCGACACCCTATGGGACTCCCAGTCACGGCCAGTTGTGACACAGCCTGGGATCGAACCTGGGTCTGTAGTGACGCCTCAAGCACTGCGATGCAGTGCCTTAGACCGCTGTGCCACTCGGGAGGCTTTACAGACAGACATGAAACAGATGGGGAGAGGAAGGATGGAGACTGCGATTGAACCCAGGTATCCGGTGGGGAGGCATGTTTATGTGCTTGCCGGGAGCGTTACCCACTCGATGACAACTCTGAACACACTACGTGAGATTGTACCTTAGTTGCACAAACGTTCGATCAAATGTCTCGTGTTGGTTTGGAGTACTCTGTTAACCCACATGTTAAGAGAAGGGATTAAGAGATGCTAGAACGAGGAGCTCCACCCTCTCTCCTTGCAAGTTATGAGCCGAATGTCCCCTCCCCTTCTGAAAATTGAAAGACGCTAACACCTACGAAATCGTCATTTGTCCAAATAACCTGTGACGAAAAACCCAAACACCGGAACTACTGCTGCTCGTTATCTCACACATCCAATTCCATTCACAACAGATTCTACGGTAGTAGTTACAGTGAGGGAAAAAAGTATTTGATCCCCTGCTGATTTTGTACATTTGCCCACTGACAAAGAAATGATCAGTCTATAATTTTAATGGTAGGTTTATTTGAACAGTGAGACAGAATAACAACAACAAATCCAGAAAAACGCATGTCAAAAAAGTTATAAATTGATTTGCATTTTAATGAGGGAAATAAGTATTTGACCCCCTCTCAATCAGAAAGATTTCTGGCTCCCAGGTGTCTTTTATACAGGTAACGAGCTGAGATTAGGAGCACACTCTTAAAGGGAGTGCTCCTAATCTCAGTTTGTTACCTGTATAAAAGACACCTGTCCACAGAAGCAATCAATCAGATTCCAAACTCTCCACCATGGCCAAGACCAAAGAGCTCTCCAAGGATGTCAGGGACAAGATTGTAGACCTATACAAGGCTGGAATGGGCTACAAGACCATCGCCAAGCAGCTTGGTGAGAAGGTGACAACAATTGGTGTGATTATTCGCAAATGGAAGAAACACAAAATAAATGTCAATCTCCCTCGGCCTGGGGCTCCATGCAAGATCTCACCTCGTGGAGTTGCAATGATCATGAGAACGGTGAGGAATCAGCCCAGAACTACACGGGAGGATCTTGTCAATGATCTCAAGGCAGCTGGGACCATAGTCACCAAGAAAACAATTGGTAACACACTACGCCGTGAAGGACTGAAATCCTGCAGCGCCCGCAAGGTCCCCCTGCTCAAGAAAGCACATATACAGGACCGTCTGAAGTTTGCCAATGAACATCTGAATGATTCAGAGGAGAACTGGGTGAAAGTGTTGTGGTCAGATGAGACCAAAATTGAGCTCTTTGGCATCAACTCAACTCGCCGTGTTTGGAGGAGGAGGAATGCTGCCTATGATCCCAAGAACACCATCCCCACCGTCAAATATGGAGGTAGAAACATTATGCTTTGGGGATGTTTTTCTGCTAAGGGGACAGGACAACTTCATCGCATCAAAGGGACGATGGACGGGGCCATGTACCGTCAAATCTTGGGTGAGAACCTCCTTCCCTCAGCCAGGGCATTGAAAATGGGTCGTGGATGGGTATTCCAGCATGACAATGACCCAAAACACACGGCCAAGGCAACAAAGGAGTGGCTCAAGAAGAAGCACATTAAGGTCCTGGAGTGGCCTAGCCAGTCTCCAGACCTTAATCCCATAGAAAATCTGTGGAAGGAGCTGAAGATTCGAGTTGCCAAACGTCAGCCTCGAAACCTTAATGACTTGGAGAAGATCTGCAAAGAGGAGTGGAACAAAATCCCTCCTGAGATGTGTGCAAACCTGGTGGCCAACTACAAGAAACGTCTGACCTCTGTGATTGCCAACAAGGGTTTTGCCACCAAGTACTAAGTCATGTTTTGCAGAGGGGTCAAATACTTATTTCCCTCATTCAAATGCAAATCAATTTATATCATTTTTGACATGCATTTTTCTGGATTTTTGTTGTTGTTATTCTGTCTCTCACTGTTCAAATAAACCTACCATTAAAATTATAGACTGATCATTTCTTTGTCAGTGGGCAAACGTACAAAATCAGCAGGGGATCAAATACTTTTTTCCCTCACTGTATGTTTAAGTAGATCTGTCCATTAGAGATTATTGCCGACAAAAATTCAACATTGTTTTGACGTTGGCCCGTTTTAGGTGGCTACGTATCATTGAGACAGGGCATTTTTAAAGGATGGTTAAAGAGGGGCTGAATTACCTGATTTGGCCTCATTTTTCTCGCTTGGTCTTTAAGAAATACAAAGGCCATGACTGAAGCCAAAATAAAGTGGTTTAAACTTCTTTCGCCAATTAGCTTCAGCCGGCTGCAGTTCGACCGTGGCAAAGTTGGTTTGACATTGGATAGCCCATCTCTGAGGCTAGTTAGGGACCGTCAATAAATTACACAATGTAAATGGGACAATATTTTCATGTTGGACATCTTTTAGTTGTCTCAAATGCTTTCAATATTTGCAAATTAATTTCTACAATTTATAGTTGGTTTGAGGTTAAGTAATTGACATTTGGAGCTATTGACATTTTAAAATATTGTCCCATGTACGTGGGGTAATTGACTGATGGTCCCCAACTAGCCCCATAGGGATACCGAATGTCAAACAAAATTGACCATGGGCATTACTATCAGCTCGAATTGATGATCATTTGGGACCTGCCAGCTGTGGGCAGGATTAAAATAAACCCAACCCAAGGAAAACTGTTACAGTACCCTTCATTCCGTGACATACAATGTTTCCTATCATCTCGCAAATCTCTGACTTTAAGACCAAAATTATCCTATTTACACTTTGTAGTCAATTTTGACACTATAATAAAATGTTTCAGACTCAAATTTATGACACATTGGCAGTTTTCAAAATGAGAAGTTGCTTTTTAGGGGCAGTCGCTCTTTAACGCAGTCTAAATTCGAATAGTTTTGGGATGTCCAATACGCCACAATGTTAGAAGATCATCTGATCTCTTGCCTAGCCAGTGTGAGAAAGACAGTGTGTAAAACTCTGAATGAAAGACAACCGCTAGCCATCTGACACAAAGGCGAGAGAGGAGAGAGGAATTTCAGGGTCATTGAATAATTAATCTACTCAGTTTGTTTATGTGCGTGTGTGTGCGAAAGACACAGAGAGAAAGATAGTTTGCGCGTGTGTGAGAGAGAGAGAAAGAGGAAGGATGACCTCTACTCCCCTATAGGTCAAAGGGCAAAGGGACGTGTCGCCCACCTTTCCTATCCCCCCTGTGCTTTCTTTGTCGTCATGGTTACGTTTGTGGTGTCCCGACAGCTCGGGTAGTTGAAGCATTGGTGTGTGTGAGAGTCAAAGGCCTGCTACACTGGACATTTCAATGAGCATAAGCAGCGTGTTCACTACAAAATAATTTGGATTACTATATTGTGACTTACTGATACGACAGTCCGGTCCGGCGAAGCCGGGGGCACACTCGCATCGAAACCAGTTGACACCGTCCACACAGATACCACCGTTGTAGCTGAAAAGAATGAGGGAAAAAAGAAAGAGAGAAGAGAAAGTGAGAGAGCAGTGAGGTTAAATTAGATAGGCCAAAACAGAGCACACCAGTCTTGACTCATTTCACACGAAACAGCAGAGGGGAGAGAGTGCGAGTGTATGAGTTGGGTTCCAGGTCACAAAGGCTAAATTCTGCTCATCAATACACACCTTTCAAATGCTAATATCTACCCCCCACCCCTCAATCCAACCCCTTCACTCCTCCCGATTTCACCCCTCCCTCCCCCTTCCCCTCCCGTGCTCCCTAGGTCACCAGTGAAGAATGGAGGGGAGGGCAGGAGGAGGGGAGGGGAGGCGGAGGAGAGATTGCTCCCCCGTCGTCCTTCTCTCTATGGGGCGGGGGCGACTCTTTTAAGGCCCCCAGAGCCTCCATTGTCCCCTCCCGTTCATTTAAAACCAACCCTGGGTTTCGGATTAAGGAACATCTTTCCTCTATTTTACGAGCTCCCCCACCTCCCCCATTTGGACGTATCCGCTCTGGAGGGGGGGGCATGCGTGTGTGTGTGTTGAGACAATTCATGGCCGTTGCTGTACAGCAAAGGTGAGGGTCAAAACAGAGAAAAGGCATGACACCAGTCTTGACAAGGGGGGAGGAGAGAGGAGGAAACACACGTACCAGGGGTGAGGGTTACAGTCGTTGGTGTCTGTGGAGAAAAATACAAGACAAAGCCATAAGAAAGTGAAAACCATGCTTTAAAAAACCTCAATATTAAGCTAAAATGGCAAAATCTTTAAGTTGCATAGGTGCATTCGAGTCAGGACAAAGGCCTTGAAATTGACATATCTACATGGATTTGTGCAGGAGTAAGATTGATTGAGGTGCTGAGAAAAACAGTTTCTCTGGGTTTTGTTTTATCTTGAAGTGTACACTCGTTCACTACTTCTAACAAATCTAAAAGCATTGGATGCATGGGATAGAGGGAGTTTCCACCATATTTCTTATACCAGTCATTTCCTTTCAAATCAGTGAAGATGTTCACACTTTGGGAGGAAAGAGATAATTGGGACGTAGTCTCTATGCGTGACACTGGTGGCAGCAGTGGGATACACTGGTAGCAGTGGTTGGATCCAAGAAGCGACTTACTTTGGGCGCAGGTGGGGCCCTCCCAGCCCTCTTTGCAGATGCAGGTGAAGGCGTCGCCGCCTCCGACACAGGTGCCTCCGTTGGAGCAGGGGCTGGACGCACACATGCTGTTCTTGGCTGGAATGGAAGAGACAACAAAAAAAAAAGAGGTGAGACACGATATGATAGACAGAATACAATGAATCGATAGAGACGAGACAGACGGACAGACAAACAGAGAGTAAGACAGACGGACAGGCAGGCAGAAAGACGGACAGACAGGGATACAAACAGAGAGATATTCAAATAATGCATAAAAGCACACACACACCCCCTCACCTGTGTTACAGGTACTGCCGCCCCTCCCAGGGGGGCATGCACAGCGGAAAGCGTCCCCGTGGTCATAGCAGGTGCCCCCGTTACTGCAGGTGTTGGCATCACACTGGCTCTCACCTGTGCGCACACATATTTTAGAGGTCATACCGAAGACGCTTAGACCCATTAGAACTCGGTCTGACCAATTAAAATTATTATACAATTCATTTAATTCAACGCATCTGATTAGCACACATGCAGACACTCCAGGGCTTGACATTACCTTTTTTTAGCCACTTGTCCTTCAGATAAGTAGGACATATTTTTTACTTATCTTAAAGCTCAAGTTACTTGTCCCCCCCAAAAAGGTCAAACATCATGGGCCAAAAAGGTGACTGAGAATTGTGTTGTATGATTAGGGTAGCAAAAATCCAGTGATTTTGACAAAATTCCTAGGCTTCCCAGAAATCCTGGTTGGAGGATTCTATATTTCCTACTTATTCTCTCCTGACTCTGGGAATCTTCCAACCGGGAGTTCTTGAAAACCTGTGGATTTTGGGAAGATTACCAGAATTTTGCAACCCTATGCATGAGAAAGAGACGGAGATATCGTGGACGTACGTCGGGGTGCCTTGTAAAGATCAGACGGCGAGCGAGTAAACTGCCTCTTCCATCAATCCTATTAGCCAATGTTCAATCATTTGAAAATAAATTAGACGACTTAACATTACGGTTATCCTACCAACGGGACATTCAAAACTGTAATATCTTATGTTTCACCGAGTCGTTGCTGAACGATGACATGGATAACATACAGCTGGCAGGACATACGCTACATCGGCAGGATAGAACGGCTGACTCTTGTAAGACAAGGGGTGGCGGTCTGTGTATATTTGTAAACAACAGCTGGTGCATAAAATCTAATACTAAGGAAGTCTCTAGGTTTTGCTCGCCTGAGGTAGAATATCACATTATAAGCTGTAGACCACACTATTTACCAAGAGAGTTTTCATCTATATTTTTCGTAGCTGTCTATTTACCGCCATAAACCGATGCAGGCACTAAGATTGCACTCAATGAGCTGTATAAGGCTATAAGTAAACAGGAAAACGCTCATCCAGAGGCAGCGCTCCTAGTGGCCGGGGAATTTAATGCAGGGAAACTTAAATCCATTCTACCTCATATCTACCAGCATGTTAAATGTGCATCCAGAGGGGGAAAAAAAAACTCTAGACCACATTTATGCCACACACAGAGATGCGTACAAAGCTCTCCCTCGCCCTCCATTTGGAAATCTGACTATAACTCCATGCTCCTGATTCCTGCTTATAAGCAAAAAACTAAAGCAGGAAGCACCAGTGACTTGGTTAATAAGGAAGTGGTCAGATGACGCAGATGCTAAGCTACAGGACTGTTTTGCTAGCACAGACTGGAATATGTTCCGGGATTCTTCCGATAGCATTGAGGAGTACACCACATCAGTCACTGGCTTCATCAATAAGTGCATCGATGACGTCGTCCCCACAGTGACCGTACACACATACCCCAACCAGAAGCCATGGATTACAGGCAACATCCGCACTGAGCTAAAGGGTAGAGCTGCCGCCTTCACGGAGCGGGACTCTAACCCGGACGCTTATAAGAAATCCCGCTATGCCCTCCGACGAACCATCAAACAGGCAAAGAGTCAATACAGGACTAAGATTGAATCGTACTACACCGGCTCTGACGCTCGTCGGATGTGGCAGGGCTTGAAAACAACAAAGGGAAGCACAGGCGCGAGCTGCCCAGTGACACAAGCCTACCAGACGAGCTAAATCACTTCTATGCTTGCTTCGAGGCAAGCAACACTGAAGCATGCATGAGAGCATCAGCTATGTGATCAAGCTCTCTGTAGCCGATGTGAGTAAGACTTTTAAGCAGGTCAACATTCACAAGGCCGCAGGGCCAGACGGATTACGAGGACGTGTACTCTGAGCATGCGCTGACCAACTGGCAAGTGTCTTCACTGACAATGTCCCTGACTGAGTCTGTAATACCAACATGTTTCAAGCAGACCACCATAGTCCCTGTGCCCAAGAACACTAAGTCTACCGACCTGTAGCACTCACGTCTGTAGCCATGAAGTGCTTTGAAAGGCTGGTCATGGCTCACATCAACACTATTATCCTAGAAACCCTAGACCTACTCCAATTTGCATACCGCCCCAACAGATCCACAGATGATGCAATCTCTATTGCACTCCACACTGCCCTTTCCCACCTGGACAAGAGGAACACCTACGTGAGAATGCTATTCATTGACTACAGCTCAACGTTCAACACCATAGTGCCCTCAAAGCTCATCACTAAGCTAAGGACCCTGGGACTAAACACCTCCCTCTGCAACTGGATCCTGGACTTCCTGACGGGCCGCCCCCAGGTGGTAAGAGTAGGTAACAACACATCTGCCACGCTGATCCTCAACACGGGGGCCCCTCAGGGGTGCGTGCTCAGTCCCCTCCTGTACTCCCTGTTCACCCATGACTGCATGGCCAGGCACGACTCCAACACCATCATTAAGTTTGCCAACGACGCAACAGTGGTAGGCCTGATCACTGACAATGATGAGACAGCCTATAGGGTGGAGGTCAGGGACCTGGCCGTGTGGTGCCAGGATAAAAACCTCTCCCTCAACGTGATCAAGACAAAGGAGATGATTGTGGACTACAGGGGGAAAAAAAGAGGACTGAGCACGCCCCCATTCTCGACGGGGCTGTAGTGGAACAGGTTGAGAGCTTCAAGTTCCTTGGTGTCCACATAACCAACAAACTATCATGGTCCAAACACACCAAGACAGTCATGAAGAGGGCACGACAAAGCCTATTCCCCCTCAGGAGACTGAAAAGATTTGGCATGGGTCCTCAGATCCTCAAAAAGTTTTACAGCTGCACCATCGAGAGCATCCTGACTGGTTGCATCACCGCCTGGTATGGCAACTGCTCGGCCTCCGACTTCAAGGCACTACAGAGGGTAGTGCGTACGGCCCAGTACATCACTGGGGCCAAGCTTCCTGCCATCCAGGACCTCTATACCAGGCGGTGTCAGAGGAAGGCCCTACAAGTTGTCAAAGACTCCAGCCACCCTATTCATAGACCGTTCTCTCTGATACCGCACGGTAAGCGGTACCGGAACGCCAAGTCTAGGTCCAAAAGGCTTCTTAACAGCTAATCATGGCTACCCAGACTATTTGCATTGGCCCCAACCCCACCCCAACCCCCTCTTTTACGCTGCTGCTATTCTGTTTATTATTTATGCATAGTCACTTTAACTCTACCCACATGTACATATTACCTTAATTACCTAGACTAACCGGTGCCCCCGCACATTGACTCTGTACCGGTACCCCCTGTATATAACCTCCCTACTGTTATTTTATTTTACTGCTGCTCTTTAATTATTAGCTTTTTTATTTATTTATTCTTAAACTGCATGGTTGGTTAAGGGCTTGTAAGTAAGCATTTCACTGTAATGTCTACTCCTGTTGTATTCGGCGCATGTGGCAAAATTTTTTTGATTTGATTTGATGCTAGGAACCACTTCATAAAATAATATCCGGAGGACACTTGGATCTGATTTCATTCAGAGTAGCCTAATTTATTGATATTGTGATTGTCGCGTGATTTCTTTTAACTTGTCCATAACTTGTCCATATAATCTGCTTGTCTGACAATTTTTTTTAACTTGCCCCGGGCAAGCGTTAATGTCGAGCCCTGCACACACACACTTACGGGAGTGGCAGGTCTTGCCCTTCCAGTTGTCGGTACACTCGCAGTAGAAGTCGTTGACCAGATCCACACAGAGGCCACCATTCTTACACGGGTTACGGTTGCACTCGTTCACATCTGAGGGAGGGAGGAGGAAGGAAGAAAAGGAAAATAACACATTTTTATGGCTGTGTTATGAGGAGGAAGAGGAGAACGGGAGGGAAAGGAAGACAGAGGAGAAAGAGAAAGGGGAGGAAGAGGAGTAGAAAGGCGAAGAGGAGAAAGACAAGGAGGAGGATGAGAAGATAAAGAGTAGGAGAAGAACGACAGGGGAAAAAAGAGTAGGAAGAGGAGAAGAAAGAATAGGAGGAAGACGAGGATGAAGAAGAGGAGACAAAAAGTAGGAGGAGAAAGTGGAAGAGGAGAGCCAACTTACTGAGGTCACACAGCCGGCCCTCCCAGCCATCGGGACAGAAGCACTGGAAGGAGTTGACCCCGTCGATGCAGGTGCCTCCGTTCCGACACGGGCTACTCACACAGTCGTTCACGTCTACAATTGAAAAATATACATTCAATTTTATTTGTCCCATTGAGGTCAGAACAGGGGTTCCCAAACTATTTGGGGCCTGGGACCCCTTTTGTGATAGCAAATTCATCAGGGACCTCCTCAAAATCAGAAGACAACTGACTTTAGAGTGCGATAAAAATAGCATTCAAGGAGTTTTACCATGACTGCTGCAGAGCATGGCGGGACTAACCAAGTCTCGGGCCCTGGGAAATAACATTTTAAAAGGCCCCCCCCCTTGTTCACATCAGAGTTAACATTTTACAGTTTTAAAGCAAATTTCCTTCAATTCGACACATTTTGCCATGGGGTAGAGAGACAATTTTGGTAGTTTTAAAGCTTAAATTACAGTGCATTTATGTTGAAAACATTTCTAGGGCATACAAGAAGTATTGAGTTGAAAACTGGATCAATGAGAGTACTGTAGATCCCTGTGAGCCTCCCAGGCCCTGTTGTGCATCTAAGGATAGCCTATAATGTAGATGAACTATATTCCATTGCAATGTATTGCACCCTCAACTTATTTCACAGAACGCTTGGCCAAATCTGTTTAATCTGTAGTTGCTTGCAGTATTTATAAAAAATAAAATAGATCTGGCCGCGGACCCCTTGCAGTACCGCCACGGACCCTTGGGGTTCCCAGGACCCTGGTTTGGGAACCACTGGGTCAGGAGACCTCTTATAACAATAACATCTGCTTTCTCCTGAAGTGTGCACTCATTCACTACTTCCCACAAATCTAAAAGCATTGGATTGGTGGATGCATGGGTTAGTGGGAGTTTCCACCATATTTCTTGTACTAGTCTATACTAGTTCTCTTGCAAATCAGTGAAGTGAACAAAAACACACTTTGGGAAGAAGGAAAGATAATTAGGACATAGCCTTGGCCTAGAGTGGTTGTGATTGTTGTTGCCACCCCCACTGAATGAGATCCTCAGGAAGCGAAGTTGATTCTAAAATCAGAGAACTTCTACCCAGACTGAGGTACCAGTTAGGCAGGCAGGCAGGCAGGCAGACAGGCAGAGAGACAGACAGACAGTGCCCAGCTGGAAAAACTGGTTGCAAAGACGTCATTGTCATTTTATGCCATCATGGTCAGGTTGTATACTGGATGTATAAGGACGTTCACAGCTTTTTTTAGCGACCAGAACAAATGCTGTAATCTTTCCCATTTTTGTGGTTAGATATAGTGTACTCAACCAGAAAACCAGTTGACAGCATGAAAATAACGTTAAGACTTTCTGTGTCGAATGTACTTACTCTCTTGGCAGTAGGTGCCACTTAAAGGGTTGGGGTCAATTAGAATTCAAGCATGAAGTGGAGAATTTACTTGGAATTGAAATTTAAGCAATCTTAATTTTTTTTTTATTGGAATTGAATTGGAATTTAGACTGTCAATTGGAATTTAATTGGAATTTGGAGAAAAAAAAACAGCATTGGAATAGAATTTAAACTTGAATTGTATTATAATTGTTCAAATTCCAGTTAATGGATTTAGGATTTTAAAAAATACTAACGTTATTTCAATGTTTTTATGAATATTGCTAGCAACAGAATAAACATTTAAAATTACATACAGTGCGCCTTCAGAAAGTATTCACACCCCTTCACTTTTTCCACATTGTTGTGTTACAAAGTGCTATTAAAATGGATTTGTAATTTGTCAACGATCTACACAAAATACTCTGTCAAAGTGGAAGAACATTTTCACATTTGTAAAAAATTTTATTGAAAATAAAACACTAATATCTCTTGATTAGATACATATTCAACCTCCTGAGTCAATACATGTTAGAATCATCTTTGGCAGCGAATACAGCTGTTAGTCTTTCTGGGTAAGTCTCTAAGAGCTTTCCACAACTGGATTGTGCAACATTTGCCCAGTATTCTATTCAAAATTACAACCAAATAATTGCAGCATTACCGCAAAAATGGAAGGGGGGAAAAGTACGGAACTTGTCTGTCGGCCCTGCATTACAGAACATAATTGATTGAAGAAAATTGTGATAAATAAAAAAGTATACCAGTTTCATTTAAGGACCAAAGGATTGACAGCCGTCCCATATACAGTGGGGGAAAAAAAGTATTTAGTCAGCCACCAATTGTGCAAGTTCTCCCACTTAAAAAGATGAGGCCTGTAATTTTCCATCATAGGTACACGTCAACTATGACAGACAAATTGAGAAAAGAAATTCCAGAAAATCACATTGTAGGATTTTTAATGAATTTATTTACAAATTATGGTGGAAAATAAGTATTTGGTCACCTACAAACAAGCAAGATTTCTGGCTGTCACAGACCTGTAACTTCTTATTTAAGAGGCTCCTCTGTCCTCCACTCATTACCTGTATTAATGGCACCTGTTTGAACTTGTTATCAGTATAAAAGACACCTGTCCACAACCTCAAAACAGTCACACTCCAGACTCCACTATGGCCAAGACCAAAGAGCTGTCAAAGGACACCAGAAACAAAATGGTAGACCTGTACCAGGCTGGGAAGACTGAATCTGCAATAGGTAAGCAGCTTGGTTTGAAGAAATCAACTGTGGGAGCAATTATTAGGAAATGGAAGACATACAAGACCACTGATAATCTCCCTCAATCTGGGGCTCTACGCAAGATCTCACCCCGTGGGGTCAAAATGATCACAAGAACGGTGAGCAAAAATTCCAGAACCACACGGGGGGACCGAGTGAATGACCTGCAGAGAGCTGGGACCAAAGTAACAAAGCCTACCATCAGTAACACACTACGCCGCCAGGGACTCAAATCCTGCAGTGCCAGACGTGTCCCCCTGCTTAAGCCAGTACATGTCCAGGCCCGTCTGAAGTTTGCTAGAGTGCATTTGGATGATCCAGAAGAGGATTGGGAGAATGTCATATGGTCAGATGAAACCAAAATATAACTTTTTGGTAAAAACTCAACTCGTCGTGTTTGGAGGACAAAGAATGCTGAGTTGCATCCAAAGAACACCATACCTACTGTGAAGCATGGGGGTGTAAACATCATGCTTTGGGGCTGTTTTTCTGCAAAGGGACCAGGACGACTGATCCGTGTAAAGGAAAGAATGAATGGGGCCATGTATCGTGAGATTTTGAGTGAAAACCTCCTTCCATCAGCAAGGGCATTGAAGATGAAACGTGGCTGGGTCTTTCAGCATGACAATGATCCCAAACACACCGCCCGGGCAACGAAGGAGTGGCTTCGTAAGAAGCATTTCAAGGTCCTGGAGTGGCCTAGCCAGTCTCCAGATCTCAACCCCATAGAAAATCTTTGGAGGGAGTTGAAAGTCCGTGTTGCCCAGCGACAGCCCCAAAACATCACTGCTCTAGAGGAGATCTGCATGGAGGAATGGGCCAAAATACCAGCAACAGTGTGTGAAAATCTTGTGAAGACTTACAGAAAACGTTTGACCTGTGTCATTGCCAACAAAGGGTATATAACAAAGTATTGAGAAACTTTTGTTATTGACCAAATACTTATTTTCCACCATAATTTGCAAATCAATTCATAAAAAATCCTACAACGTGATTTTCTGGATTTTTTTTCTCATTTTGTCTGTCATAGTTGACGTGTACATATGATGAAAATTACAGGCGCCTCATCTTTTTAAGTGGGAGAACTTGCACAATTGGTGGCTGACTAAATACTTTTTTCCCCCACTGTAGATTGCAAAATAGTTGGGAAGATACTTTTGACGTACCGATTCCATGGCATTGTGTTTATGAACTGATACGCAAAACCACGCCAGATTCAAAACTTAGAATGTTTCAATTTAAATTATTATACAATATTCTTGCTACCAATATATAGTTATTTATATGGGGGAAACAATCTTCCCAGCACTGCAGATTTTGCTGAGAAGAGAATCATTAGATCATTTGTTTTGGTACCGTCCATTTGTAGCTTGTTTTTGGTCACAGGTCCAGGAATGGCTGAAGGATTGCAATATTTACCTGGAGCGAACCCTGCAGATAGCACTACTGGGTGATATTATTATCTGAAAAGTCAGTCAATTGATCAATAATACTTTTAGCAAAAATGTTTATTTTTAATTTACAATCTGTAGAAACAATGAGAATAGATGTGTTCAGAACTTTTGTGAAACATCACAGTACAGTTGAAAAATATATGGCAAATAGAAATCCAATATGGATGGTGTTAAGAGATAGATGGGAGGTGTTGAATGGAGCTGAAGGATGAAACTAATAACAACTAATAACAAGATAACTAATGTAAAGCATACTGTGTCGATAATAAGTATATAGGTTATAGGTTGAGAGGTTTTGTGAAACAGTACAGTTAGAAGTATATGGCATATAGAAGCAAACCGGACGGACATCATGAAAATGATCGGAAAGGTTGAGGAAGTTCAGGAGTAAAAACAAACAAAATATAATTATTGTAATTAGTGTCCATAAAATGTACAGTTGAAGTCGGAAGTTTACATACACTTAGGGTGGAGTCATTAAAACTCGTTTTTCAACCACTCCACAAATTTCTTGTTAAACTATAGTTTTGGCAAGTCAGATAGGACATTTACTTTGTGCATGACAAGTAATTTTTCCAACAATTGTTCAGCAAGGAAGAAGCCACTGCTCCAAAACCGCCATAAAAAAGCCAGACTACGGTTTGTAACTGCACATGGTGAGAAAGATCGTACTTTTTAGAGAAATATCCTCTGGTCTGATGAAACAAAAATAGAACTGTTTGGCCATAATGACCATCGATATGTTTGGAGGAAAAAGGGGGTTGCTTGCAAGCCGAAGAACACCATCCCAACTGTGAAGCACGGGCTTGGCAGCATCATGCTGTGGGGGTGCTTCGCTGCAGGAGGGACTGGTGCACTTCACAAAATAGATGGCATCATGAGGAAGGAAAATTATGTGGATATATTGAAGCAACATCTCAAGACATCAGTCAGGAAGTTAAAGCTTGGTCGCAAATTGGTCTTCCAAATG